CCCGCACCATGAACAACTTGAAGCTATCGCCGCAAGCAGTGCCACGTAACGTCATACGAGCTTGCCCCCACCTGCACGACTTAGAAGAGCATCTCATCTACGAAGAGGGATCACCTACGATACTGCTGGGTCAAGACAACTGGCATCTTTTACTCACACATGCCGTGCGACAAGGGGACCGACACCAACCGATCGCAACACTCACCGATTTAGGTTGGGTTCTACACGGCACTAAGAGATCGAGTGAAAGAGTCAACACCCACAAAGTACTCCACGCTGTCGCCCCTGATGATGAAGAGTCCATGGAGCAGATGATGAGGGAACACTTCAGCCTCGAGTCATTGGGTGTCACACCGAGACGCAGCCACAACGACGACGAGCGACGAGCACTGCAACAACTAGAAGATAAAACCCGCCGTTTACCGGCGGGAGGCTTTGAAACCGGTCTTCTATGGCGTAACGAGCACGTTCATCCACCTGACAGCTACGACGTGGCGTTAAGAAGATTGGAACTAGTTGAAAAGAAACTCGACCGCGACGAGGTACTGAAAAAGAGATACGAAAAACAGTTACAAACACTGTTCGACAACGACTACGCAGAAATAGCGCCACCCCATAAGAACCCGAAGACTTGGTATTTACCCCATTTCGCCGTCATCAATCCACAGAAGCCAGAGAAGCTCAGATTGGTCCACGACGCCGCTGCCAAAGCCAAAGGAGTCAGCCTGAACGACATGCTACTACCAGGCCCGGACTTAATACAATCCCTGCCCGGCGTGTTGATGAAGTTCCGTCAGCGACCAGTAGCGGTAGCAGCCGACATCAGAGACATGTTTCTTCGTGTGACCATACGAGAGGAAGATAGAGACATGCAACGCTTCCTGTGGAGAGGAGACGACCGAGATCGCCAACCGACCGAGTACCGTATGAAGAGTGTCATATTCGGCGCCACATCATCTCCCTGTACTGCTATCTACGTAAAGGACAAGAACGCGGAACACTTTCGTGCTCAGTACCCCGAGGCGACAGCGGCAATCATCGACAACCATTACGTCGACGACTACCTAGCGAGTTTTGACGACGAAGGAGCGGCCGTACGCATATCCACACAAGTTGCGTACATACACAGCCGCGCGAACTACTTCCTGCAACGTTGGGCATCAAACTCGCGCCGAGTACTAAGCACGCTATCACCGGGGTCGAAAGGCGACATACTACAACTGGACAGCACGAAAGTACTGGGCATGGTGTGGCAACCAGAGGAAGACACCCTGTCTTTCAACATCAACACTCACAAAACACCGGCGGAAGTATACAACGGGGCAAGAACACCAACTAAAAGGGAGGCGCTACGCACTACGATGTCCATATTTGATCCATTGGGCATCGCCACTCCAGTCACCATACAAGCGAAGCGCATCATACAAGACACGTGGCGCTCAGGCATCGATTGGGACACCCCGTTAGAAGCGCCCGAAGCGGACGCCTGGAGCAGATGGCTGGAAGATGTACGACGACTCGCCAAGATAAAAGTACCGCGCTGCTATATGAAACTTAGTCACGCGCGCGGCATCCAGTTACACACATTCGTGGACGCAAGTTCAACGGCATACGCGGCCGTCACCTATTGGCGTGTAGAAGACGAAGATGGCAACGTACACGTCTCACTCATCATCGGCAAGGGGAAAGTAGCTCCGTTGAAAGTGATCTCCATACCACGACTAGAGCTGCAAGCTGCCGTGCTGGGTTGCCGTCTTACACAGACCGTCGTCGACGAGCATCAATTTAAACCGACAAGCCGCTACTACTGGACAGATTCCCGCACGGTACTGACCTGGATACGCAACGGACCGCGAGTTTATAAACCGTTCGTAGCGTATAGAGTGGCGGAGATCGCTGAACACACTAAAACGAAAAAATGGAGATGGATACCCACCAAAATGAACGTCGCAGACGACGCCACCCGCGACGTGCCACACGACTTCGACTCTAATCATCGATGGTACAGGGGGCCGGACTTTCTATATATGTCGGAAGAAAATTGGCCTCAAGAGGAAGTCACGGACGTCAACGTCACGGATGAAGAACGGGTCCACCTCACCACAGGCGTCGGCGCGCGACTGAAGGAAGCTCTACCCGAAGTAACTCGTTTCTCAAGTTGGATACGCCTCATGCGGACCACAGCGCGCGTACTACAGTTCATAGACAGGCTGCGGACGCGCACACAACGATGCGCCGCTTTAAGGAAGAGAACGAGGAAAAATGCCGACGCCGACCCTACTTGGCGAAAAAATGATACAGAAAGCAAGAAGACGAATACTTCCGAGGCTGTGCGTGGAAAGCAAGTTTTACACAAATTTAAAACGATCGACGCATCATATCTACGCCACGCCGAGTCGCTGTGGATACGAGCACAACAGGAAGAGGCGTTCACCGAGGAAATCAACGCCCTCAAGAGGGGGACCCCTTTTCCCCCCTCTAGCCGCCTTATGAAATTATCAACGCTACTCGACGGCGAAGGCATAATACGACTACGATCGCGTATAGCGGCCGCGGGTGATATCACTGAGCAACAACGGTCACCAGCCGTGCTTGATGGAGACCACCCGTGGGTGCGACTGTATATCGCCTGGATACACAAACAGACGCACCACGGAGGCTTCGGCATCACCACCAGCGAGGTACGACAGCACTACTGGCTCCTACGACTACGCAACGCTGTGCGAAGCGAACTGAAACGTTGCCGAGTGTGCCGCATCATGAGAGCCACGCCTCCACAACCCTCGACCGGAAACCATCCGCCCAGCCGCCTCGCTCACCATCAACACCCGTTCACATACACCGGGCTGGATTTCTTCGGCCCACTCCAAGTCACAGTAGGCCGCACACGACAAAAAAGATACGGAGCGATCTTCACCTGCCTAACCACGAGAGCGGTCCACGTCGAGGTCGCCGGAGATCTGAGCACCGACTCCGCCATCATGGCACTCCGTCGCTTCATATCGCGACGCGGATGCCCGACGGAGCTGTGGTCTGACCAGGGAACCAATCTCCGTGGCGCGGACGCCGAGCTACAGAGGGCAGCACTAGAAGCTATACAGGAAGACGCCAGTATCCGGTTCATCAAGTGGAGATACATACCGCCGAGCGCACCGTTCATGGGAGGAGCATGGGAGCGTCTGGTACGAAGCATCAAAACAGCTCTGTACACCGTACTGCACGAACGCGCCCCGAAAGAAGAGGTCCTGCACACTCTATTGGTCGAGGCAGAGCACACCCTCAACAGCCGCCCTCTCACCCATGTATCCACTGCTCCAGAAGACGAGAACCCCCTGACTCCGAACCACTTCCTACTGGGGGGTCCCTCACGAGTACCACTGCCTGGAGCCTTCACGGACACTGACATCGACGGGCGCAAGATCTGGCGGACCAGCCAACGACTGGCCGACATGTTCTGGTCACGCTGGATAAGAGAATACCTCCCTGATCTCCAGCACAGACGAACTCCGAGAGCCACCAACGGCGCGCTACAACTGGGAGACTTGGTGTTCATAGCCGACGGGACGCTACCACGCAACACCTGGCCCCGCGGCATCATTGTGGCTACATACCCAGGCCCCGACGGAGAAATAAGGGCGGTCGACGTGCGGACAAACAGAGGAGTTCTGCGCCGTCCTACAAAGAAGCTGGTAATCATTGAAACGGGAGGCAACGAGACAACGAAGCGCGAACCCTAGGACTTTCCAGCTACAAGCTGCGGCGGGAGAATATGTTCAGGACGAAAACGTGTTCGCGCCCATGTGAATTTTTAATAT